CGGACGGAAGCGAGGGTGGCGCGCGGACGGGGCGGGTCGCCGGCGGGAGCAGAGGGCGGAACGCGTTTGCGGTTCGGCGATCCTCCCTCTCCATGTCCCCTCCCCCGGAACCTCCGTCTCTCAGGGCTCCGCTTTCCCGTTTTCGCGTTTTGGTTCTCAAGCTTCGAAGGAGGGGAGTCTCGTCGCATTGTGAAAGGAATACTTTTTGCTCTCGTGAATAGGTCTAATTGCTGCATGGCTGGAAAGTACTCATGAAATATATAATTTCACCAAGACTGTGACGAAATGAGTATTGTTGTGTATTGCAATTGCAGTAACTAGAGGCATAATTCTAATGTTTCACATAGGGTGGTGTCACAAAAGATTTTAATTTTAGATATCTTGAGATGATCAGATAATGTTCCTCTAAATTTACATGATAAAATATATTATGTGTTTGACTTTTGGGATATTTACAATAAACCTAGTCTATCTCTGTGAAAAATTAACTAAATGGCACTAGCAAAGCACATAGAATGGTAGTGTAGGAATTCCTAAATTCCCCCTGAATACAATATTGTTGCCCACCGTGATATCTCATTTAAATTGGTCTGTTAGAGAAGTACATTTCAGATAACATTAAAAACAATTATTAATCAAAGGGGGAACCTTTTGCATCAAAAATAGAAATTCTTTAATCCGTTCGCTTTTAATTACTCTGACCCCACGTGGTATAAATTACTACTACAATGGTGATATTATATAATATAGCGAAAGTTAATGTAATTATATTGGTACGAATTTCTCCTGATATATTTTTAATATCGAACACCCTAAACTGGCTAAACCTACTACTAAAGTACATAAAGTACGATATTGTTCTTTCACAACGATTCATATATCAGCGTGGCAGCACCGGTCCCTTTCCCCTTCCTTATTTTAATATTTATGTAATTTTCATTTTATTTTAATTTCTCGGTTTGATTGAATTTGTAACTGATATTTATCGCATGCTATAGCACAATATTTTCATCATTATGTTAACTTAAATTAACGGTAATTATGGGAACATGTTTTCCTTTCATCTAATTGTTTCTTTGGGAATTTCTACGTTTACCATTCTGATCTACATATAAACCACATATGTACTTTTGGCTTCATGTCTTTGGTATTATGTAAGTAAATAGGACTTTCATAACCGTAGCTTCCAATATGTAAAGTAAATTGAACGAATTTTACACATGTTTGTCTTTCGCTGTTCATCTACGTAAGTTGCGCGTTCTTCTTAATTTACAATCATCGGAATTCTTTCAACGCCGCAGGGTTGGCAATGATCAACCAACTGACAACCTCTAGAATGCTTATTTATCAAGTTACCTGATTTTGCAATCAAGTGGTGAATTCTGAAATAAGTAACCTCGAATATTATGTGTCAGCCTTCAAAGAAGTACAGATCCTTCTTTAAGAAATTAGCATTTACCGTGACCATTGTATTAAATTCTTCCACTTTGATGAGATTCTCTTCAACTAATATTTGAGCACACTTGGAAAGAAGTGTTTGCTCGAAACTGAGTGTTCCTTTCACCTCGCGTATTCCAGCATGTACAGTAATGTGAGATGCGAAACATTGAAACGTTTGCTGCATGCTTTGAAATATAGTACGTTTGAATGGTCTGCGGGTTTGCAAGGCGTACGCAAACACTGTTATAATCTCTGACGGAACTGAATTATTGTAGACAATCCCAAATTGTGTTTTATGTATAAACTTGAAAGTAATACGTCTCTTTTATATCAATGTTTCTCTTCCATGTTTCTTGTAAACAGGAAAGGCGAATAGTGTTCCTCACTAGCTTTCTTTTCTGCAACCAGGATTTTGAATTTGATTTTTTCTATAATTACTCCTTATTTATCTTCATGCCTTCCTACTGGAAGAGCAACAGTATTGAAGATTTTTACACGTGTCTTTCGTTATTTTATTTTTTTAAGTGTCTGTAAATTACTTTAAGTGTCAATATACTTACTTTTCATTTTTTCTTTAGATTTCTTTATTCATTTTCTGCTCTCATAACGTATTTTTTATGTATTTTTCAATATGCCAAAATGAGCTGCTCCATTAATGCCTCAAACATTTATAATAGTGAGTGCCTCACACATGCATCAGTAAGTGGGCTAAGATCATTTCCTATTTAAAATGATTTTATAATCAAGGGAACATGCCAATATTCAGTATACTATTGGAGAAAATAATAACATTACTTGTTTCTTACTTTCTTTTCGTCGGCGTCATACAAATTCATAAAACTTACTCTCTAATAAATTCAGAAAATCACTTATGCTATTATCAAGCGTAAAAATACGTTCGAGGAATGGTATTGATGAAATGGATATCAGTTCAACATAGTGGATGAGAGCAGCTGTGTTTTGAGGATGTGCTCAACGCATTTAGTTACAAAAAGTTGGCTGTGAAAGTGCGTTTGAGAATCTCAGCCGAATTCATAGTGTTCACATCAATGAGTTTTTATTTTAAGAGTCCTATTTTGATTAAAAACAGCTATTATTCTCTAATGACTTGGCAGTGGGCGATCACTGACAGGGCACTGAGCGATTCGTGTGAGGAAAAGCTCACTCCCTTAAGTGTTGTGTTTTTCTTTCGACCGGTTTACCTTGTTTTTTTAAAATTTTGGTAATGATGACAATGATTTCACAGAATGTTTTGAATTCTATACACTACACAACATTCGGGCCTCAAAGAGTTACTACATTGAAAACTCAATGATGCATTGAAAGTGAAAAAGTTAGGAAATCTCTCGAACGCTCGTCTAGTCGAGCTGGATACTCTTTGCACAAACACTATTGAGAGTGCACATTCCATGACCATTCGGCCACAAAACAGCTGGAGCAAATTACACCTCACCACGTCTCCGATCATTTCTGGAAGCGCTCGTTTCACATAAATGAGAGACATCTATGAAACACGCACCTCTGTAAGCAATCCCTATTGATTGACAATCACTTCATACTCAAAGATTGCCTTATTATTTAATAATAGACGTGCCCTAAGCTGCCCATGTTAAATTGACTCCTTTTATGTTCCTTTTCCTCAAAACGTATCCATTACTTTTTTTTAGATTTAATACCAATGCAAAATAATTCCTTTTATATACAAAGTAGCAGATTTATAATATTTTCATTCATAATAACGGTTTTATAAAAAAGTAATGTGTAAAAAATTTAACATAAAAATGTGTCTTTTCAATTGGTATACGTTTATAATGTACACACGCACATTAAATAATCTATTTCAGTACTTTTGCTGTTCTTTCTACAACAATGTATTAATTTCAGAATAAGTGCTTGAACAGGTTTGGAAAAAAATGTGCATTTATTCGAGCAATTGTAGTTTTTCCCAAACAAGCTTTGAAATCATGGCCAAGCAGCACAACTAACACTCGCCAAAACGCGCAAAAATCGCGGATAAACATCAAAATACCGCACTGAAAAGTCTTGGAATCTGTTAAAAGAAACTCCCTTCCACATGTAAACAAATCGCAGTCCTGTAATAGATTAATTTCGAATTTATGTTCTTTTAGAACTTTGCCTGTCATATATATATAACGAGTTGTAATAAATCCTAGTATACATCAAAATATTCTGAAAACTCTAAATATTTAAATAAAACTAAAAATTACAAATATCAAACATAATACTTCAATTTTTTATGATGACTTATAATTCCTATGTTCCTGATTTATTTCAGTCTGCGAGCCAAATGACAGACTGAAATACATTAGGGCTTTAAGGATTATAAGTGGTCTTAAAGAATTGAAGCAATATGTTACGTATGAAAAATACCCACAGACAGCTTTCTAATGACTACATCACAAAACACTCTCTCTCTCTCTCTTTCTCTCTCTCTCTTTCTCTCTCTCTCTCTTTCTCTCTCTCTTTCTTTCTCTCTCTCTTTCGCTCTCTCTTTCTCTCTCTCTTTCTCTCTCTTTTTTTTTTACTTACGCGTTACCAGAACCATGAATGCTGTCCCGTGCGCTGGGCGAGCGTTGCGAAGTGGGCGTGTGTTGCGCAGGGTGACGTCGGAGTACATCGCGGCGGCGCTGCAGCGGTGGCGCGAGGCGAGCGCGGGGGCGGGGCAGGGGCCGGGGCTGCGCCACGACTCGTCCGTGCTGGAGCGCGTGCTGGCGCAGAACGAGGACCCGCGCGTCGCCTGCGCCCTCGCCCTCGACATGTTCCTCGTGGGCATCGACACGGTGAGTGGCACGCGGCCAAAGGGGGAATAACGTCTCTCGAATTCTGGCTTTATTTTAAGGCAATCAATGATTAACTCATCGTCGTACTGATTAGTAGGGAGTGGGTTGTGATGTCCTAAAACATTGCCAAAAATGATGAATAAATGCTTTAAAAATGCCCTAAGGAGAAAGAAAAATGACGTAAAACATTTTATAAAAACTACTTCATTTGAACAACTTAAGTTGTTGGATACGCGGCGAAAGAGGGAATAACGTCTCTCGGAGTCTGGCTTTATTTTAAGGCAATCAATGATAACACATCGTCATGCTGATTAGTAGGGGGCGGGTTGTGATGTCCTAAAACATTGCCAAAAATGATCAATAAATGCTTTGAAAATGCACTAAAAACAAAGAAAAATTGACGTAAAACATTTGATGAAAACCACTTCAGAAGAACAACTCAAGCTGTTGGGTAGGTTACTGATGTAATAGAGGCTTCTTCCTTTTGTTGAAGTAAACTCAACTTGCAACTTTGGGTTTGGACTGTTCTTTAAATGAAAATCTCAGCCTTCATTTATCGCGAAATCGGCCGAACTGACAATTGCGCCGATAAACGTCACAGGAACCTTAGATTACACAGTACTCACAACGGTTGATCTTACAATATATAAGTAAAGAAATTGAGTAGGCTACTCAGGAATTTTGTGGTGAACATTTGTGGCATCTTGTAAATATTGTTGAAATGCCATTAATATGACATTAAAATCTATTAAATCTCCGAAAACTGCAGAAAACATATATAAAAAGTTAAAAAGAATTATTAGTCGAAATCAACAAACATTTTTTTTTAAATACGTATAAAAATGGGTCATTTCGTTTCGTTGTAACATAAAATGAATTTCTATACCAAACGGCATTGCTCTTAAGTGAAAAATGACATTTTATTAAAATCTCCCCCTACTGATTAGCATACTTCGTAACTCCAGATTGGATAGTTTTGCAGTGATAAGAATAATCATAGCCGGGAAGCAGAAGTTTCTGTTGAACTTTCAAATACTGGGGAATTCAATTATTTAAGTTGCTCGAGTTGTTATTTACTTTTATTTATTACTCTTCTTTTAAATCTACATATTATTATGAAGTAAACAGAAAATAGAGGAGGTAATATGGAGTTACAAGGTTTACTAATTAGCATGACGATATGCATCACAGCATTCATTGTACCGAAAGAATTATATAATAAAATATTTAATATTTTATACGTTACAATGATGTAAAATTAAGATAAAATGATGAAAAATGTCAATAATAAAAATTAAGATAAAACTGATAAAAATATTATAATGATTGACAAAAAGCGACGAAGTAAGGATGTGAATGACAAGGTCGCAGATTAAAAGTACGGCAACAAATGGAAACACATCAAATTTATTGTCCGACTTAAAAATAAAACATTTAAATAGAAAGAGAGATACAAATAAATAATTACACTAAGCAATAGGTGAGTTAAGACTTATGTAATTAAAATCTTTTACCTCTTCAACAACAAGTACACAACCTGAATTCCTTGTAATGTAATATGAGTTGTTTAATAAATAACTCAACGTTACACAAAGGAAATAAAATAAGTTGCTTACTACATGATTTTTGTGCTATTTGAATAAAATATTTTAGGATTTATTTTTTGTCTATTCTACCAAGACATATTTACGAGAGACCCTTACTTTTCTAGTGTCAGTACATTTTGGTTAATCACTATCCTCTCCCCCCATCGTAATAAAGCGGTCACGACAAACCTCGTATTCAGAGGGCTCCCTAAACACACAAACTGCGCATGCGCCTTTTGAGAGAGCGCTGTCGGTGGCGCGTGCGCAGACGTCGACGGCGGTGGCGTCGGTGCTGTACCAGCTGGCGCAGCACCCGGCCGTTCAGCGCCGCCTGCACGCGGAGGTGGCGCGCGAGCTGCCGCCGCCAGGCAGCGCCCTCTGCGCCGACAGCCTCGAACGCATGCCCTTCCTGCGCGCCGTCGTCAAGGAGACGCTCAGGTACCACAACATATTTCTTGGCGTAACATTCCTTGATACACGAGCTGCCTAGCTTCAGCGCGGAATAGCATGGCACGTTGCGATACTTCTTACTACCACTTCTGCTTGCGTAACTTTCCTTGATACACGAGCTCCCTAGTTGCCCAGCGCTGAATAGCACGACACGTTGCTATACTTCTTACTACCACTTCTGCTCGCGCAACTTTCCGTGATACACGAGCTCCCTTGTCCTTGCCCAGCGCCGAATAGCACGGCACGTTGCGATACCTCTTACTGCCACTTCTGCACCATCTATTGCTCGCGCAACTTACCTTGATACACGAACTCTCTAGTCCTTGCCCAGCGTTGAATAGCACGGCACATTGCGATACATCTTACTACCACTTCTGCACCATCTATTGCTCGCGCAACTTTCCTTGATACACGAGCTCCCTAGACCTGGTGCTGAACAACGCAGCACGTTGCAATACTTCTTACTGCCAATTCTCCCTATCTATTGCTCGCGCAACTTTCCTTGATACACGAGCTCCCTAGCCTCATAGCTGAACAACACGGCACGCGCAACTTTCCTTGATACACGAGCTCCCTAGCTCCAGAGCTGAACTACACGGCACGTTGCAATACTTCTTACTGCCACTTCTGCGCTATCTATTGCTCGCGCAACTTTCCTTGATACACGAGCTCCCTAGTTGTTGCCCAGCGCTGGACAACACGGCACGTTGCGATACTTCTTATTACTACTTCTTCGCCATCTATTGTTCGCGCAACTTTCCTTGATACACGAGCTCCCTAGTCCTTGCCCAGCGCTGAATATCACGGCACGTTGCGATACTTCTTACTAATATTTCTTCGCCATCTATTGTTCGCGTAAGATTCCTTGATACACGAGCTCCCTAGCTCCATCGCTGAAGAGCACTGCACGTTGCGATACTTCTTAGTACCACTTCTGCACCATCTATTGCTCGCGCAACTTTCCTTGACACACGAGCTCCCTAGTTGTTGCCCAGCGCTGAATAACACGGCACGTTGCGATGCTTCTGCCCGACTCGGGATGGCATGCACAAATTTATAATGCTGCCAACATCCACACCCGGAAGCTGAAAAGCAGGAAACGAAATGAATTTTCAGTTGCCTAAAAAGAAGCATTTTTCATCATCAATGAAGTTCATATCTATCTTGTACACTACATGTCAACGCGTGCATATTGACTACTTTTTATTTTGGCAAAACTTTCGAAAACGTAACGAATCATTCCGTCTCAAAGACTTGTAAAGGTAATAGACCTAATACGACTATGGGCAAGGTTTTTGAATTACGAGAGCACCCGCTGCAGCTAAACTCAATGTCTACCAAACTTCCTTTTTGTTTCCTGGTTCTCTAATATTTCACATTGGCAAAGTAATTACTTTATGTAAATTCTAATTTCAAATTGCTGACTATAAACCAAAATTTGAACAGATTCTAACAAAAATTAAAGGGAGAATAATTCAAGGAAATCTTCCTCATGCAAGCATTCTCGTCTCCCAAAGGCAGCCTGAGACCTGATGTCTTTCTGATGCGTCTCATTTCTCTCTAATGACTCTCATCTGAGATGGTCATTAGCCGGCACTCCCATCGCAGTGGACGTTATTTGCTGTCGATAGCTTTCGTAAGCCTCTTTGGCGATATCGAGCTTTCTCCACTCCAAAGAACGTGTGACACGTTTCGTCTATTAAAAAATTAGCTTCAGACTCTCCTTGTTTATTTGTTCACTGCTTCCTTCTAAATTCAGAGTTCAGTGCTCATCAAAACTTGTGAAAATCGCAATAATAGAAAATATTCTTGCTGCAAAACCCATATTGACACATTTTCATGTTATAAGATAATTGTATTTTTGTTTCACACTCAATACAATTGGTCAGTAAATTGAAATTATGGACACACACTTCTGTAATAATTAAACTTTATAGTTGACGCCGGTGAATAAACTCAAGTGTGCTGTTACCGAAAATGTTATGAGCATACTATTGAATTTTCCAACTCTTTCTCAGAGCTTTCTCTGAGATCAATATTTCATCATAAATTGGTTTCGTTTTTTTTTTTCTTTTTCTTTCGTAACATAACTCGAAAATTTCTTGCGTTATTAAAATGTTTGCTTTCCTTGTTTTATTAAAGATTTTTCATTCCCTCCTTAATGTTTATCATTAAATTGCCTTGTTTTACAATTTTTACTACAATATTTAAATTTGAAGTAATTGTGAAGTAATATTGGAAATTGGAAAGCTATTACTTAATATTTCTTTTTTGGCTTTCCTGTGTGCTAAAAATCATTTATCAAAGTTAGTTTCGAGTTAATGATCATGAAAATGTTATGACTTAAGCATTTCTCTTCATAAAGTAAATTAACAAGACATAACCTGTTTACTGCCATCAAGTTGTACTCAATTGCAGTTAAATATTTCTTTCATCTTGGTTTGCAGAATGTATCCTGTGGTGATCGGGAATGGTCGCACGGTGACACGTGACACAGTCATCGCAGGCTACCGAATACCGAAAGGGGTAAGTCCAGAGGGGTAGAATCTGCCTCACTATCAACAAAAAAAACAGTTGGAATAAATTAGTTGAAAATTGGTACGAGCAGTTGGAAGCAGTATTAGTCACCAAGAAATAATTAGGAAGACGAGAGGTAATGGTGAGGAGGAACCAGTGGCAATGATGAAAGCAATATCAGTAGATTCATTAGGCCACATTTGGTACAAGAATACTGGGGAAAAGTTACTTCATGAGAGCGAAGTCTAGTCATTGGAGAGGCGTAGAACACTCTAGAGATAGTAACAACTTTCAAATACAAGTGTAGATATCGTCTGGGCGGCAAGATGCAGCAGGGACGTAGGGGAGAATATGCTCCCTAGGAGAAATCCATTAGTCAAATATCGTTAGGTCACAAGCCCTTCCGGTTTGTCTGTTATTATTGTTGCACTTACCTACAAATGTAAGCTAGGGAACGTATCAAAGTATACGTATTGTTCAACATAGTTCCTGCGCTTGCATGGCTTAGTTTTGTATCTTGTACTAGTTTTTTAACCAAGCCTCAGCCCGCCTTACAATACTGAGAGATACGGGAAATTTGCACACGAGAGCAGGAAATGTTAAGGGTTTCTCGTTGGAGCAACTTCGTTTGATTTTAATGGTTTTAGCAAATCTAAAGGCGAGCGTAGATTATATCCAACCAAAATAAATGACCTCATGGATATCAACTCAAAAATTGTAAGAGCATAGGGTTACGCCGCCGGAGTCAGTAACTACTTGGCTGACAGTGGTATTTCGTCCTCAATAAGATCGTAGATTAATGGTCGAAATGTTGTCTTCTGTGCCTAGAACAACTCCTGTCTGGGGAGCCAAGTAATAATATTGTACTTTTTCTCTCAAACGTCAGAGCAAGTACATTATTTGTTAATTTCGTTAAGAAAAAAAAGATGTAAAGAGAACGTTCTGCCGCAATTCTGCGATCTTCCTCAGAGTATTTCGTCCTGAAGAAGGTCGCAGAATGACGGTCGAAACGTTCGCGTCTGCACGCGACGTCTCTCAGACAGCCGAGTAGTTATAAAAGTTGAACATTTTTTAAACATCAAAGCAAATGCGTTATTTTTTCATTACATCCAGAAGAAGAAAATATGTGAGGAGAACATTCCTTCCCTCCTCCCCTTCCTCTCCTCCTTCTCCTCCCTCCCTTCCCTTTCCTTCTCATTCCTCTCCTCTCTCCCCTCCCTCTCTTCCTTCTCGTCCCTCTCCTCCCTCCCTTCCCTCTCCTCTCACCCCCTCCCCCTCCACCCCCTCTCTTTCCTCCCTCTCCTCCCTCCC